CCTAACCCGTGGGCTACATTGCAGCCTTGCTGTAAGCTGTTCTGTCTCAGCCTGCACCAAATCTACACTGTAGGCATAACCTTGGGCTAAACTGCTGTACTGATGCAAACCGCTCCTAGCATCAGCCTGAAAGCTTACCCCACACCCCATTATGCTATCGCACTCAGCTGCTCCGATCTATTATATGGGCATAAAGGACTGCGTATTCTAATTTGGACGGGCAGCGCTATTTTAAGAACTGCTTAGGAATGTGAAAGATTGAGAAGGTACATTCAAAATAAGACCCAGAACAGAAAGCGCGAGGACCCCTTTTTGGATGCTACCGTTGTTTCAGTGTAAACAACGCTGAATCCTAAACATTAACACTAAACTAAATCCTAAACGTAAACATTAGAATCCACTGTAATTTCTACTGCAACTCTTCTGCTCTAAAGTCAACTGAGGGCGGCACTCTGAACTTTTCCTGTCTCTGCAACCGATTGAGGCGACCAGCCACAGCAGAAAAGCATTTCGCTTGGAAAGGACTTGTGGCTTGTACCGAAACCCGTAGGGAAGTGGGCGGGGAAGGGGCGTGTGACTCTGCGGATGGTAGTGCGTTGCTAGGAGACCTAGAGACGCGGAGGGGGGGGCAAGCTTGATGAGGCTCCAGGCACGGCAGATGTGGAGACTTACGTTTCGGGGTCTATTTTGGCGGAGCAGGAGGGAAGCCAGGTAGGGTTTGGCACCGAGGAAGAAATTACTTTCCACGGCTCAAGCGCAATGCTGCATTTTCGAGAGCTTGGAGGTTCAACCTTGTTCGGTTTAAAGTTATTTGCATTTGAATTTGGTCCTGTCTTTAAAATACAGCCGTGGAATAAATAGGACCTGTACCTATGGCCCCTGATTTTTTGGGTACATTTGGGAATTTGGCAATTTTGCTGTGGGGGCATCTGTGTCGTCGTTGTTCAACTGCAAAGTCGTGTCCGACTCTTTGCGACCTCATGAGCAACATTCTTCCAGATTCTCCCGTCCTCCACCATCCCCCAGAGGCCACCGCACCCTACCTCCCCAGTGACCCTATCCAGCCACCTCAACCTCTGCCGTCCCCTTCTCTTTTTGCCTTCAATTCGTCCCAGCAACAGGGTCCATTTCAATGAGTCCTTTCTTCTCATTAGGTGGACAAAGTATTTGAGGTTCAGCTTCAGTATCTGGCCTTCTAAAAACAGGGTTGATTTCCTTTAGGATTTGATTTGATTTCTTTGCAGTCGAAGGCACGCTCGGGGGTTTTTTCCAGCACCATAATTCAAAAGTGTTGATTCTTCAGCACTCAGCCTTCCTTATTGTCCAAATCTCACAGCCATACATAACAACTGGAAGACCCAAAGATTTGACTATATGAACTTTTGTCAGTGGGGTGATGTCTGCTTTTTAGTATGCTCTCTAGATTTCCCATAGCTTTCCTCCCAAGGAGCAAGAGTCTTTTAATTTCTTGGCTGCAGTCACCATTTCTGGTGAATCTGTCACTACCTCCCTTTCTTCCCCATCTATTTTCCAGGAAGTGATAGGACCAGATGCCATGATCTTAGTTTTCTTAATGTAGAGTTTGAAGCCAACTTTTGCACTCTCCTCTTTCACCCACACCAAGAGGCTCTTTAGTACCTCTTCACTTTCTGCCATTAGATTGGTATCATCTGCATATCTGAGGTTGTTGATATTTCTACTAGCAATCTTAATTCCAACTGGTGATTCATCTAGCCCCGCCTTTTTCATGATGTGCTCTGCATGTAAGTTAAATAGGCAGGGCGACAGTATATAGCCTTGCCGAACTCCTTTCTCAGTTTTGAACCAATCAGTGGTTCCGTGTCCAGTTCTCACTGTTGCTTCTTGACCCACACACAGGTTTCTCAAGAGACAAATAAGATGATCTGGCACTCCCATCTTTAAGAACTTGCCAAAATTTGCTGTGTCCACATAATCAAAGGCTTTAGCATAGTCAATGAAGCAGAAATAGATGTTTTTCTGCAACTCCCTAGTTTTCCCCATGATCCAGCATATGTTGGCAATTAGATCTCTACTTCCTCTCCCTCTTCGAAACCCTGCCTGTACTTCTGGTAGTTCTCGGTCCACATACTGCTGGAGCCTAGCTTGTAGGATTTTGAGCATAACTTTGTTAGCATGTGAAATGAGTGCAATGGTGCAGTAGTTCGAACATTCTTTGGCATTGCCCTTCTTTGGGATGGGAATGTAAACTGACCTTTTCCAATCCTGTGGCCATTGTTGAGTTTTCCAAGTTTGCTGGCATATTGAGTGTAGCACTTTTATTGCATCGTCTTTTAGGATTTTGAATAGCTCAACTGGAATACTGTCTCCTCCAGTAGCTTTGTTGTTGCTAAGATTCCTAAGGCCCTTTTGACTTCACATTCCAGGATGTCTGGCTCGAGGTCACCGACCACCCCATTGTGGTTATCAGGGACGTTAAGCTCTTTCTTGTATAATTCCTCTGTGCATTCTTGCCACCTCTTCTTAATCTCTTCTGCCTCTGTTAGGTCCCTACCATTTTGGTCCTTTATCATGCCCATCCTTGCATGAAATGTTCCCTTCATATCTCCAATTTTCTCGAAGAGATCTCTAGTCTTTACCATTCTATTGTTTTCCTTTATTTCTTTACACTGTTTGTTGAAGAAGTCTTTCTTATCTCTTCTAGCTATTCTCTGGAATTCTGCATTCTATTTGGGTGTATCTTTCCCTTTCTCCCTTGCCTTTTGATTCCCTTCTTTCCTCAGCTACCATATTTTTCCGTCTATAAGACGCCCCCATGTATATGAGCCCCCCCACTTTTCCTACCCATCTCCAGTGAATAAGCTGCTGTCACGTGCGCCGCCCCTCACCTGCACTCGCCGCCCCCCCCCCCGTGCTCACCGCCTACCCCTGCATGTGCCGCTCCCCATCTTTGAGCTTCTCCATCTTTGGCTGCAGTGCAGATAGTCAATCTGATTTCTGTGTTGACCATCTGGGGATGTCCATATGTAGAGTCGTCTCTTGGGTTGTTGGAAAAGAGTGTTTGCTCTGACCAGCGTATTCTCTTGACAATATTCTGCCAGCCTTTGCCCTGCTTCATTTTGTACTCCAAGGCCTGTTATTCTGGTTATCTTTTGGCTTCCTACTTTAGCATTCCAATCCCCCATGATGATAAGGACATCATTTTTTGGAGTGAATTCTAGAAGGTGTTGTAGGCCTTCATAGAACTGGTCAACTTCAGCCTCTTCAGCATCAGTGGTTGGGGCATAGACTTGAAGGCCTACAAGATGATTTAGGATTTTGAATAGCTCAGCTTAAATATTGTCTCCTCCACTAGCTTTGTTGTTGCTAAGAGTTCCTAAGCCCATTTGACTTCACACTCCAGGACGTCTGACTCTAGGTCACCGACCACACAATTGTAGTTATCAGGGACATTATAGATGTGCATCTTCTAAGTCTTGTAACAGTTGTCATTCTCTTCTAAGAATTTTCATAACACTGAACTTAAATTTACTTTCCCCATACCAGTCTAGAATTTTTTTTTACTTACCTTCATTTTCTTGTTTCTTCATCTTCTCCACTTGTTCTTCATCCATCAAGTTAATGCTTTGAATTGTGGAGATTCCGCCATCTCCTCCTCGTTCTTCTGCTTGTTGGTCACCATTGTTTTGGCCTGCTCCATCAAACACTGATTCTCAAATCTATACTGCTGCCAAGGCCTTTTGTTTATTTATTTAAAACATTTCTAATCCATCCTTTGCCCAAGCCTCAGGACGGCTTACAAAGTTTCTTGACTTCCTTAATCTTATAACTCCCCATTTGCTTAATAGGCTTTCACTCTGGTCTGGTGAATTTAGTATAGAAATCTTCCTCTTATACAAGACTTTCAGAAACACTGGGTATCCCCAGCTATATTTGATGTTATTTTTCAATGGAACCGCCTTAATTAGCATCAATGACCATCTAAATTGCACAGTCTGGAAAGCAAAGATCTTGGTGGACCTGAACAGGGACTCCTTTAAATTTCAATTGGTCTGATTTTTTTTCTCATTATTTTCATGAATCTTTTTTTCTTGTAATATTTTGAAAATCTGATCAAAGCATCTCTTGAGAACATCCTAGGTTCTTACTTTTTAGCCGACTTTTATTCCTTTCAAAATCCTCTTGTTACATTTTACATCTGGGATCATTTGTTTAATCCATTCAATAATATCATTTTAAAGTTTTTTCCCCCTCTGGTGGTGATTGTCCTGGCAAGTTTGAATTAATTAATTCAAATATTCAATTTATGGTATGAGTCCTTCAATGAGATAACATCTTTATCCAATTTAGATATTCTTGTTGCCTGATGATCCAATTGTAGTTTATTAGACGTCATCATTTTCTCTTTTTTTTGGAGTCACTTGTCCAGAGCCAATATTTGTTTCTCCAGACTTGAAAAAAGATTCTTATTATTCTCTTTTATTTCAGTAATAATATTTTTAGACTTGAGTTCTCCATCATCTTTCAGATCTTTAATTAAATTCTTTATTCTTTATAAATATTTTCAGAAGCAATTCTTCCTATACAGAAACTCTCAAACAGCATTACATTTTATTTTTGCAAGCTTTCTGACCAGACCTGGGTTTTTTATCTGTCAGTGGGCTTGCTCTTGAGTAAATTCATTAAGAAATTGAATTATTATACAAAATTTCTCAGAACCAATTCTAACGGTGTTCAGTTCATCTTGCCCTCATACTCATATAAGTGTTACAGTCAGTATTATAGGTTATTTGCTCTGTACTATATGCAATACAATTATCTTGCACACTGTGTGAAAGAGTGATGGCTTAATGCGGAATAATTATAAAATTTAAAAACAATCAAGCTGTAAAAGATAGGCTTGATTAGTTTCAGCAACTGTAAAATTACCTTTGTTTTTTTAAAATAAAAATAAATGCACTTTAATTCAACTTTTATTTCCTGCAGACAGATTCTGAACAAAGCTCTACAGCTAAGAAAGCATGGAGATACTGATCAGGCAGCAGTTGTCAGATGCTGAAAGGCACCATGGTAAATTATTAGAAATTATTACTAGATATCTTTCTCTGTATCTATGGTATTGGCTATTGAGTTTCCCCCCAGACATGAAAATAATCTGGATTCTTTCCTCTCTGTAATTCAAAGATGTTTACTTAGAAGTAAGGTCCTGTGTATTCAGTGGTTTTACTATTTAGTGCATTACTCTGCATAGAAAAACAGTATGAGCCATAAAATAAAAGGCATATATAATAAAATTCTTTCTATATAAGTAGCCTTCAATATATAGCTATGTATATCCTTTCCAAGCTCCTTTCTGTAAAAATTGGCTGAGTCCGTACTATATACCATTTCATCTCTAATAGAGAACGTACGTACTTCAGAGTATCCAGATAATGTGCTGCTACCAATTTTGGGCATGCTAAACTAAGGTGAACTCACCTTTATTCCATAGAAATATCAAATTATGTTTTAGTAAGTGTGTTTTCCATATGGTCCTGTAGTTTTAATGTTTTTACTGATATATTGTTTAAAGGAAAGCAAATACAAACTTCCTTCTCAGTTTTGTCATTAATTTGCTACAGGAGAAGGAACATTATGTAAGCCACTTTGAGTTCACTGGGGAAAAAAGTTGAATATTCATATAATTAACCCTGGGTTGCTAGCACTTAAGGGAGCAGCAAAACTTTCAGGAGTTCCCTGTAAGGTAGATGCATTTGATTTGCCTTTGGCACCTGTCAAACAGAACCCTTCTTCCTTTTGATGGGAATCACCTACAATCACTTTGCAGATTCCCCCTATAGTAGCAATAGGAGATTGTGGGGAGAACATTGAAGGACCACTAGGGACACCAGTCTGTCCTAAAGAAACTAGATCACATTATGGAAAGGGTAGACAGAGCCCCTTTCTGCAAACTTTCTCACCAGAACTTTTCAAGACCTGACCTGTCATATCTGCCAGCTCCTCGTAAAGTAGAGAATTACTGTGCTTCAGCCAGTAGGCACCTCCTGGCCAGTACCTAACCCTCTTGTGCTAACCTGACAAGCCATGTCTGTACAACTAAAAATAATGACTACAATTGTTTAAAGATGCAATTGGATGGATTCTTAAAAAGGAGGTATGACTGCAGGGAGTACTGCCAGGGAGCTACTGGAGCTCTCAAATATAGATATCACAAAAGTCACCCTAACAGGACTCTTTTGATATCTCAAAAATGTGTTCTCAGGTTCTATCAATTTAAAAATGCACATAGCTGCATGTATTTTAAATGTACAGAAATATTTGCACAGTTGCAAAGAGATGTACACCATCATTTTATCCTATGCTGGGGGAAATGCTGCTTTTCTAAAATTGCACAAAAATGCATATATTTGAAAATATATGCATATTTTTTGTTTTTTAGTATACTCATCAAATCAGTATAGGACTGTTACACAATGTTTTTGGTGTAAAAATCTGGCAACCTGCTCAGCATGAACTTGACAGGATCGGTAATGCTTGCCTTAGTTACAGTTGAAAAAACAAAACTATTACACAAAATATTTTAATGTATCAATATAATTAAATGCATAGTATTACATTCCATCTAATTTGAATGTTTTTTCTTAAAGATGTTGAAGCTTTGAAGAATAGTTACGAGTTGATCAAAACAGCTGATGAGGGAAAATCAGCCCTTGATCCCTCTGAGAGTTTCTCTTCTGATTTGTATGTCTTGTGTGCAGAACAAGCACATCAGGTAACCACATGTCAAGTTCTATGAGTGGTTACAAAGATCTTTTGTTTTTTGTAGATCATAATTAAAAACTGAAATATGATTAATTTTAGATGGGTTTCCCGGAAATGAGTAGTCACTGTCTACAGATGTTTTTTAAAGGAAAGCCACCTGTGAACCAATTTTTGGGCAGAGCGTACTTGTGCCAGAGTCAATTATATACCCCTGTATCTACTGATAATTTGGTAAGTATCTACCATGACTTCTGACAACTGTTATCAAAACTATTTTTTTTGTAATGAATTAATGACAAAGGCAAAATTGCAAATTACATAATGTACGTTATTCTAAGATGAGTTAACGTAAGAATGTTAGTGGAAGGAAAGATTTCTCTGCTCTGGAATCAACTGTGTCCCCTGCTACTTAAGTGATAGCTATTATTTATTAAAATAGGTATTAATATACAAATGAAATTAAGTCACTCAAACTGTAATATATATGCATGTATTATAAGTGTATATAACTATGTATAAACTTTCAAACTAAGCCCTTGTGTATGCCTTTTTAAAATATATAAATGTTGTGAATTTACTAATTCAGTAATAATATGGTGTGGTATGTGCAACTACTAAAAGGGAGAGAAATAAATCTATATCTGGGTGACCAGACTTGCTCAACAAGAGAGCCACATGCAATAAATGTCATACATTTGAGAGCCACAAGCAGGTGGTCAGTGGTGGCAAGCAGCCAGCAGGCACCTATGGGCACTCGCAACTGCAAGTGGAGAGCTGCAAAATAACCTCAAAGAAGTGCATGTGGCTCCTGAGCCTCAGTTTGGCCACCGTGATCTATAACTAGAGAGAGAAATAGAGAGAGAGAATATTTCCTTCATTCCCAAGTAAAATATTATTATTCCTTAGGAACAGTTTGAAAAATTCATCATAAATTTGCTGAAAGTAGTAGACTTTGCATTAGATGATACAAGGTAAGACATTTATAATTTGCTCCATTTTGGCCACTCTTTTGAGACTCATCTATGTGATTCCATTCCACAATATTTCTGAAATGACTATTTTGGTTGACAAGATAAATAAAAGTTATATTGTGACAGAGAAATGCACAGCCACTTTATTAGATTTTCATATGTTCAACCCAAAATGAATATTAGAATAGCTGCTTTTTGTATACAGAATAAGTGCATTGCAGCAAAATAAAAGTACATCATGTATTTGATAAACAGGATCCGTTTTTCAGTTTTTCATACCAGAACATATTTTCTCAGGTTTGTTTTTATTTACATATATCCTGTAGGACATGGGTCCTCAAACTACGGCCTGTGGGCCAGATCCGCCACACCATGCTCATTTATCTGGCCTGCCTCTGATGTTTTGGACTCGCTTGGAGAAAACAATCTCCGAGCGAGTCCAAAAGTGCTGAGCCGGCACAGGCGTTCCCTGAAACTGAGCAAAGCGCTGGCGCACACGCGATTACTACATGTGCACCGGTCCCCCCCTCCCCCCATTGCATGCATATACAGAGTGGGAATATGGAGTGGGAAACAGAAGAGAGTTGGGAGAGGAGAGAGATGAAGATGCTAAAAAAGGATTGAAGGTAAGAAAAAACTTACTTTCTTAGATTAACTTTTTAAAACTATTGTTAATTATGTGAGTCATGTTCCTGGGCTACAGTCCAAGCCAGGGCCACCTCGCCAAGCCTGGGGGCAGCTGCTTGACGGTGGCAGTGGCTTGCCCATAGAAGGCTGCCCCCAGGCTCAGTTAAGCGGCTTGTGGTGGACACGCAGGAGCCGTGGTCTTCAATGGGGGAGCCGCCACTTCTGTCGAGCAGCTGTCCCCAGGTTCAGTGGGAACAGAGCCAACATTTTTAAAATTTTAATTAATTTTTAATTTTAATTTTAATTAATTTTAATTTTAATTAATTGTTAATTAATTTTTAATGTGCAGTGTGCATAGGAATTCATTCATTTTTTCCAAACTATAGTCCGGCCCCACAACAGTCTGAGGGACAGTGAAGTGGCCCCCTGTTTTAAAAGTTTGAGAACCCCTGCTGTAGAATATAAATGTGTAGGAAAATCCAGGATTTCTGTCATCCAAATGTGGCAGAATTTCAGAGCTGTGTGAAAATACAGCCATACCTCCCCAAGAAATAGCAACATTCTGTTAGGAGAATGGAAATTTTCCATTATTATTATTATTATTATTATTATTATTATTATTATTATTATTATTTGCATTTCCAGAGTCCTCATATGTCACTACTACCATTGCAACAGAATCTTTTGTTTACTATGTATTAATTTTTACTTGTTGTTATCTGCCTTTTACAAATATATAGATCTGGAATATGACAATTGTGTGAAAACTGGTGCCTAATCTCTTTGGCAGATCAACTCTAAAATGTGAAAGGTGTTTGCTATGCCTTGATGTAGTTTTGTCTCTAGCCTAATAAACCAGGGAGCAAGTATCGGTATACTGTGGGAGTCACAAACATAAGTGTAGGTCTGATTCTATGTCAGTGGTAGGCAACATTAGGGTAAGGAACTGGGGGCCATTTGTACTCCCCAGAAACTTCCAGGGGCTACTTTCGTACCACCACTAGGGCAAGGGCAAGGAGTTTGGTGGTGGCAAGCCACCTCCCCAACTTGCTACCAATTCGCAGGAGCAGAAGCCTAAAATGATCAGTTTTTGGTGCTGTAAATTTAAACAGTTCAGTCAGTGGTGAGGATTGAGAGCGGTATGTTGTGTCCCACGGTTTTACAGATGAGATCAGAGACCAGTTGGTATTTTTTAAGAGAAGTTTTTTATTACCTGTATAGGGACCAACACTCTCCCACACGGATGGGATGGGGTGCGGTCCCCTGTAGAGGGACAACGGAGTATTTATACCTTGTTACAAACAAAGGGAGAATTGTTTTTGACAGCCTAAGCAAACGAGCTGGCATGATACAGGAGCGAGACGGTTTTGCAGTCAGTCCATATTTTGATACAAAAGCGGAGCGGTTTGCAGCTAGTCTATCCTTTTAAGAAGAACACTCTGTATATGCCTGGGGCGTCTGACAAGCCTCCTATTGTCCTCTATTGTGCTGACCCCAATACACAACTGATAGCCTCCTGTTATACTAATCTTGTGCCAGGTGGGTCGAGCCCAACATGGTACAGACTGCATGTTCCCTTGTGGATTACATGTTGTCCTCCTCTGCTCTGTTTCATGGTCAGGTCCAGTTTTTCCTTTCAGTTATACTACATGTGGCTCCGAAACCTTGGGTGCTGTGAAATTGAGGGAAAAGGTTTTGATAGAAAAGCCCTGAGTCTGTTTCTTGCCTCCTCTTGTTAAAAGCAATGATATCTGAATGTGTATTCTTTTTATTCCAGATACTATTTTTTGATATACAATGCTTCAGTTATTTACTGGAAGTTTGTAAGGCCATTTTTAAAGCCTGGATTCCGCCACTTTCTTATTCCAAGTCTCTCTCAAATTGTGCCTGCATTGAAACATCGATCTAAGGAAGACAAAGACTGGACTGCAGAACTCATGCTGTAAGATAACTTGCTGTTTACAGAAAACAATTGTCATTTGTCATTTGTTCACTGTGGTGCCTTGGCACTTCTGTGTATTCTTTACACTTCAATCAGTAAAAATATTGATGGAAGTATCTCTGTGTAAATGATAGTATTACTTCCCCTCTCTTCCCACACTCATTTATGTATGCCATTACTTTTACTACTTTTGTTAGGCAGTCCCAACTGTCTATTATAATGCTGATGGTTGTAACTCATTACCTGTTTTCAAACTACAAATTGATTTCTGTCTGTTGCTTTTCTTTTGATCCATATGTTGAATCATAGCATTCCTACACTTTATGCATACCTGCTCTGCCCTTGCAGAGATGCCAACTGTACAGTGAACACTTTGTCCTTGTCGGTTTTTATTAAACTAAAAGATTGAGACATGTTTGTCTTTCTATTGCCAATCAGATTACTATTTCAAATGAAGCAACTCAAGGAGATGGTGTTGACAAGGATAATGATACAAAATTTACTTTTTTATATCACTGATAACTGCTCATAGGCTAAAAACATTTCTTTTTGGAGAAATGGAGAAAAGAAGTAAAACTGGCCCAAAACTTCCACTGGTTGGCTCAAATTTTCTAGATGAAATTGTATTTGCATTCTTTCAATTCTCAGCCCTACTGTCAGCATTCATGGACAGTGATTCAGTCAATGCATTACAAGTTGATTATTGATATAAATTGTGCTGAAATAGCTCCAAGGCATAGAATCAGAAAGAAAGGTGAAATATTGAGGAACTTTAAGTGACAATAGGAGTACATCAAGATTGCTTCTTTCTTCCTTTTTTTCTGAATGATGTTAGCCACCCAATTGATCACTTCAGTACAAATCCATCAAAGAAAGATTGAGTACCAATCTGGTATGTCATTTCTCTCTCCACCACATTTTTGAGAGCTGTACCATTTCAAATAGATACCACTCAATCCTCCAAAAACAAGCTATATACAGTAATATGGTTCACTTGGATACCCACTCACAAACTTTTTCAGAAAGTGGTAAAAAAAATTAGATGTTGTGGAAGTTAGGATACCTAACAATATAGGGTAACAATGCAGCCTATTAATATTAGTGTAAAAGCAGATTGGTGTTAAAGGGATTGGTAGGAGGTGGTGTTTTTTTTTCTTTTGCTCTGACTTTCAGTTCATTAAGGGAAAACTGAAAGTAAATATGTATAAATTACGGAGCTGTTGAAAATTTGTCCAAAATCCTTTCTGAGGTGCCCTCAGTCTTGTAGGCTTGTGGGCACTTTGGGAGTTTTGAAAAAAGGAGTAGGGAGAAAGTAAAAGTAATCTTACAAAAGGGAGAAATACTTTTTATAGAGTTACAGTTTTTCATCAATCAAAAAAATGTGTCTCTCCTTAGTTGGGTAACACATATTTTAATAAAATCATTATTTTTAGTATAAATTCTTATAAAACTGCTAATTGTAAGGGATTGGGTTAGGGTTAGGGTTATTCATTTTACTATGTGTTTCTTCTAAGATTATGCTTTCTGTAATCAGTTAAAACTCATGTGATTATTGACTAAGACAGTGGTTTTCAACCACTGGTTCATGGACCAGTGCCAGTCTGTGGGAGATTTCCTGCTGGTCCATGGAGGGGGGGCTGCATCCTGCTCACCACAGACCAGCACAGGGACTGGCTCTGTTCCACCACCTCTTCCTTGGTTGGCATTGCGTTTGCAGGGGGTGTGCTGGTGCCATCGGTAGGGCCAGAGAGGGGAGAGACAGTTCAGCTGCAGCTAGCTGGGAGCCATGCTGTGCCGATTTTGGTATTTTGTTCTTTTGTCAGCATTTTTTGTTCTCAGTTTCTGGTTGTTTTGGAGATTTTATTTTTATTTTTTGGTATTGTGTTCAAAAACTAATACACAGAATACTGTATTATGTGTATGGTGCTTTTTGTTTTTGCCTCAGCAGTCCCCAGCGTGGTTTTCCTGTTTTCACTGGTCCTGAGCTGTGGAAAGGTTGAAAACCAGTGGACTAAGATGCATTTAATTAAATGACAGTTTGAAAAGGAGCCAGAAATAGAAGCTAGAGTGGTAGTAGTATTCTTATTTATCTATATCTCATATATACAATTTGAATGCAAATATTTTGAAATAAGGGTACCTTAATAAAATTACAGTTTTGTATAGCTTTCAGATGAAATGAATATTTTTAGAAAGAACTGTCATTTATAAATATACAGATTCAATTGCTATTGCTATTTATCTTGTATGTGCTTGTGTGTGTGCATTTTAATTTTTTCTTAACTTTTGTTAACCAGCCAAAGAGCCTTGACTATTGGCAGTATAAAAATTAAATAAACACCTTGCACAGTAGTTCTTACTACAAGCATTATCTTGCTTGCTTTACAGAGAGCTAATGGACTGTTTCTTGGATGCATCCAAAATTGAAGAAGCCATAGAGTTTTCATCCACTGCAGCAGCATTCATTAAAGAAAATGTTCCAGGGAAATATAAACAACTATTTTCATTAATGGTAACTTTTTGAAAACCTAATTTACAGTTGTCAAGATTCTAGTTTTAAAAAACTGACCAGGAATTGGGTTGTTTAACTCAGCACAGTATAACCTCATGGTTTAAAGCATCTATCTCACTTAAAGCCATTGCAAACAAATATAGGTAGTTGACGTCTCATAATAAAATTGTCCTGTGCCTGAAGTAAGATGAAGGATAGATTGCAATACTTCAATAAGGTGAGAAATAAAATCAGGCATATACCAAGGTGATTTCAGTAGGCTTTTGTGTTCTATCTTACTGAAGTCCAAACGTGTCTTATTTGGAAGGCAAAAAAATCTAACTTGTAAATGAGTTAATTAAACTGATATTCATATACCTGGCCAGACTTGGACCAAATGACCTTTTATCCCAGAATGACAATTCCTTCCGTCCTTCCTTCCTTCCTTCCTTCCTTCCTATCCCACGTTTTTCCTTTCAAAGAACTCAAAGCAGCTTATATAATTTCCCTCCTACTTTCAATCTTAGTCTCACAACAGCAAACCTATGAGGTAGGTTGAACTGAGACCAGATATCCTGAGCCCCAGTCCCTCAATCTTAACCATTGCACCACACAGGCTCCCATTTTTCCTTAGGGGTTTTTAGAAAAATGTTTACCTTGCTATGTGGGCCTCTATAGCCCTCAGGAAGGCAACTGTCAGCATAATTTACCAGATCTGAAGAAATATGCTGGGCCTTGTATGATATTATTCTATCTAAACGTGCATAGGATTGCACTCTTACATTGGTAATCAAAATAAGAGTTGTAAGATTTTCTTCTGCCTTGCTTATAGTTGTCTGTTAACCAGAAAGTGATCTGAGCCCTCCTAGCTTTTAAACATACTATAAAGCAGCTTGAGAGTACTTCATTGTCTAGAAAGCGTTGTAGAATTTTAAAGCCAAAGGAAATACGCATTTTAGAGTTATATTATATTCCATGCGTCATGTCTTGTATTCCTTTTGCTTATTACACACAGGCAATAAAGCTAGTAATACTGACTTAATGCTGCTTTAGTACAAGTCCTGGGGAGAAAAGGTGCTAAGTCTGATCAGGATTGCACTGATCAGTGGAAGTATTGTTGAAATAACAGATATAATGCCTAATTTGTTTGGTGGATTTTAATAAGGATAGTTGTCCCCCTCCTTCCTTGCCTCTCTGTTCTGTTTGTTTCCTTCTGCATGACTATTCTTAAAGAAATGGGGAATATGGCTTCCATTATATTTCATGAAATTAAAACTGAAATGTGAGTTCCCGTAGTTGTAATATTAATAAAGCTGTAAAAAGAAAGCAAACCAGCTCATGTATTATATGCTTCTCAAAGTTGCCTTTGAGAAAAGCAGCCTTTTTAAATGGCTATTTTAAAATGGCTATTGTGCTGTATCTCCCAGATGAGCTGTCAGCCTTTTTTTAATGTTCTGGTATTCCTACTGTTTATGGGAAGGGGAAGCTGAAAATAAAATGGAAGAGAAATACTCTAGAGTTTAACATTTTATGAGTTCATATTAGCTTCAATTGTTCAATGATTGTTTGCCATTGTTGAAATACAGAACTGAGATCATACTCACAGGCCACTTTAGTGTCGGGAACCATTTTACACTTGGGAAGCACAACTGGAAAGAAATTTTACATGTATGCCTTTGTACCACTATATAAGTGACTATACTTAATGTTTGGATCTGCCTTTTAAAATTAGAATTCCAACTGCACATAGTCCACCGATTCTGCCACAAGGATGTCAAACAATGGCATCCTTTGTGAACCTGAAGCTGCAGAAAAGGTTTAAGAAGAATTTGAATCCTGCTCAGTTTTTGAAAAGCTGATGATATGTCTCTGTACTTAAATACTGATGTAGTTATTGTAATTGTTTATAGATACATCACAAACTAGTGGAAGCTTCACAAATAGAAGATGAACTTAAAAGCTCTCCCAACCTGAACATTATTTATAAAATCCAAACAATCAAGTTGTAAGTATTGGTTATTGCAAATGAAGATTTCTGTTGTTTAAACTATATGTCTAGAAGTTGGTTGGGATCCAAACATCTTTCAGTGGGAGAAAAACTGACACTAATATGATTCAGTGCAGAGAGAAAAAAGCATAACTGCTGTTTAGGATCAGCATGATTCTTGGTCCTTCTGGGATTACGTGCACACCAAGCAGCAGTGTCCTGAGTAGTTATTTTGTATTGGTCTGTGGTATTTGCTATTAACTTTGGGTATCTTGTCTTATGCCAATATAATTAATGTGAAACTTATTGCCATCTAGAACAGAATTAATGTGCTCAGAAAACATTATTCTTTATTTTTGTATCCTGAAGTGAATGTGGCATGTTTTTGCTAAGTCTTTTCTTCTTCCTTTGAATGTACTTTTTTTCCATTGCCAAGTTTGCATGTCTTAGATGAAAACAAACGAAAAGATCATTTGATTTATTTTAGGTAATTTTATTTTGAATACAATACACTCAGAAATCCTATTTAGGACAGAAGGGAAAATGTTGGCTGTAGCATAGATTTTTAAATGTTTAAAAATTGTAATAATAATCCACTTGTAAAATGATTACAGGCATTTAGACAAGAATGAAATTCCACAAGATGCTTGCACAGATTTGAGTAATATATATGAACTTTTAAAAGAATCCAGAAGGAAAATAAAGCGTATTGAAAGGTAAATTTCATACTTTTGCAACTCTCCAGAATATCTTTTAAAAATAGTTGACAAAGTGCCGCATGATATCCTGGTTGAGAAATTGAGGAGTTTTGCGATAGACTGATCCACTGTCTGATGGATTCATGCATGGCTGATGGAGCAAAAGCAGAGGGGGAATCATTGGGATGGTGGAGGGTGATGAGCGGGATCCCCCAGGGCTTGGTCCTGGGACCGATCCTGTTCAATCTTTTCATCAATGGCCTAGAAGAGGGGGTGACCAGTCTGCTGATCAAATTCGCAGATGATACTAAATGATACTAAAATGATGATACTAAAATGTGGGCGATAGTCACAACTGAGGAGCAGGTATTCCAGATTCAAAAGGATCTGGATGGACTATGGAAGTGGGCTGGGGACAACAGGATGGTCTTGCACTTTGGGCATAGGAATGGATGTCATAAGTACAGGTTAGGAGACAAGTGGCTGGAGAGCAGCACTTGTGAAAAGGATCTTGGGGTGCTGGTTGACTACAGGCTAAACATGAGTGTGACATGGCAGACAAGAGGGCGAACGCCACCCTTGGATGCATAGCCAGAAGTGTAGCTTCTAGATCGAGAGATTTATTACTGCCACTCTATATGACTCTGGTGCACTTGCAGCTGGAGTATCGTGTTCAATTCTGGGCCCCTCATTACAAGAGGGATACAGCCAGGTTGGAATCAGTGCAGCGATGGGCAACTAGGATGGTGGCTGGTTTGCACAGTAAGCCATATGAGGGGAGACTGAGGGAACTGGGTCTTTTCAGCCTTCAGAGGAGGAGACTCAGAGGAGACCTGTTAGAGACATACATGTACGTGAGGGGGTGCCATGCAGGGGTGGGTGCATGGCACTCCCTGCAGTGGAGGGGCAGGACGTGTTCCAGTGGAGCAAAGCTCATGGAACCAAGATTTAGAGTGGATGCCAGGAAGTACAGTTAGGACCCCAAGGGTATGGAATGGGCTTCCACGGGAGGTGGCTGAAGCCCCATCAGTGAGGGTATAAGTTGGACATGCACATGGTGGGCATGTCATGAGTGGAGCCAACTAGAGCCGGGGGGCAGACTAGATGGCCCAGGAGGCCCCTTCTGACTCACTCTGTTTCTATGTTTCTATATAAATATTTTAAATAAATAAATGCATACATACATACTGTGACAAGCAGGTGTGCCACTGAACATATGAAGAAAACTTGTGGGTAAAAGGGCCAGAGATGCAAATGGGAGAAGCTATGGCTGCTTTTTCCCCTGCTGAACTGGAAAATGTTAAGGAATGGCTTCAGAGGTGGCAGCCTTAAAAACAATTGAGACATGTGTCCTAATAATCTATAAGTCACTGCTACAATTGTTCTATCTTTCCAATTTTTTAAAAAATGTTGACCAGATTTTACTTCTGTAACTGTCAGTTGTACTTTCATTTTATTTTTGCAATAACAAAGTAACAGTCTTGGATACTAAGGCTGTAGTCCTGTTCTCATGTAAGTTTCATTTGTGTAATTGAAATTTCTCCTGAGTAAATCAGTATTAGATCATATTATAGGTGCACTGCATGTACAATTAATCACCAAGATCAGTTTTGTACTCATTTGTTCTTTTTTCTACTTTGCAGAATTTCTTTGCTGCTGGAATTGGCTCGACTTTCTTTGAAATTAAATTGTATACCCATTGCGTGTTCATGTATAAATGACTTGAAGAACTGTAAGATTAGTGTGAGTGATAGGAAATTCTTGGCTGAGTTACTTTTAATGAAATCATTTTTGCCTATTTATGAGTGTGAACTGATATATTGAATGAAAACGTATAATTTCAGTCATACTTACACAATGTTAGCTAATACCAGAAATTAGGGGAGCAATTGCTCCCTACAAATTGCAATTAATAAGTAGGATAATACATACTTGAAAATGTAATAGTTTCCTATTAATGGTATGACAATACATTTTAATAAGAAGAAAATTGTGTAAGAGCTTATGTGGCCAAATATTTCCTTCCCTTAGTTAGTGAACAGGCTAGAAAAAGATCTAGGTTAATTTTCAAAGAGCACAGAATTGCACATAAGCCATGACAATCGGTATTTCACTGTCTTTCTACAAAACTAGTTTCGTGTCTTTCCCTACTATTTTCAGGGTCAGGGAGAGCTCTATTTATCCTTATAAATTTTAACCTATGTCCTTTGCACTGTTAGTATGAAAAGTTACGTAGTAATTGAACAAAAGCTACACATCAGCATGGACAGTCTCGTGTGCTATTATCATACAACATCCACACAGATCAGAGGTTTTCCAAGGCTGTATTTATGCACCAGGTTAAAATGTAATTTGAAAATATCCTCTTGATATATTGGAATAACCATTTTGCATAATCTAACCAAAGCTTCCACTTTTGCTTTACTGCGTATTAGTAACAAAGAAGCTTGTGGCATTTTAAAGATTAATAGATTTATTGTGGTGCAAACTTTGAGGGCTAGTGTCTTGTTCATCAGGAAGCTTGGAATTAAACACACACTTCATTTGGAATATATACACAGATATAGAAAAAGGCAAAATGGCTATGAAATGCTGAAATACAAAAAATATAGCTGGCATTTTATGGCTTTTCTGTCCCATTTCCTTTCTGAATGCATATTTATATGTCAACCAAGGATAGCAGCATGTATCTAATGAAGTGGATGATACACAGAAGGTTATTCCATAATACATTTGTAAGTCTTCAAGATGTCATAAGTCTCTTTGTTGATTTTGCTACAACAAACTGGCTCAGCTGTCTCTCTGAAAATTGCATGATGACATAATGCTGTAAAAATGCAGAATGTTGTAATGAAATATTTGATAGCAGTGGATATTCATCATGAATATTTCCATTCTTTAATAAAATGTGTTCGTATTAACAGGATCCAGGAAAAGAGATTGAATTAGACTGCTTGGAATGTGACTGTGAAGTCCAGAAACTTGGACCTAAAATTGAAACCTATGGTAAAAGTGTTGTTGAGGTACATGTGCTCCTCACTTAGCATCACTGTGCTGCAAATTTATGGTTTTGTTTCTCTCTTTGTTTTTTTTAATGAAAAATGAAAGTTAGCCACTGATTTTCATGCAGAGAAAACAAATGCTATTCTAGTTAGCGTCAACTAAAGAGAATGATCTGCTGATTCAGGAATCAGTTACTGTTGGATATAAGGTTATAAGAAGGTCCTGTAAGTCAGTAGTTATGCCTCCTAATCAGAATTATGTGGTCAGGATCTTTCAACCACTCAGTTAGCATGCTATCCATAATATCTGATAGCTCATGGACTAGATTCAGAAGAATTAGTTGTATCTTCATTTTATTCTTGTAGGCTCAACGAAAAGTAATACAAAAACTTGAGCTTATTTTGAATCGTGCAATTCGGGTGCGAAATCCAAATATTATTCAGGCCGTATGTGCCACCCTTTGGAACATCTGTTTACCATTGCTACAGCACAATTTGCAGCAGCATGTACGGAAACCACTGCTGAGTATTGCTGAAGTCCTAGAGAAGATTGACAGGTAAACTGGTTTTGCTAGGAACACAAATTTATTGTTTTAGAGACCTAATAAGCTATATACAAACATGTGATGAACTAAGGATATATATATATATAATCAGACCATGGGTCCTGCAAGATTAATACTGTCTATTCTGATTGTCAGTAACTCTTCAAAGTCCTAGGCAGAAGTTTTTTCAGTATTTCTAAAAGTGGGCTGGATAGAAAAACTATTAGGTGAATCCACAATTGGCTGCAAAATTTGACTCAAAGAGTGCCTAAAAATGGCAGATTTTCTAACTGGGGAATGGTATCGTAGGGGGTATCACAGGGTTCTTTCCTGGGCCTAGTGGTGTTTAACATTTTTACGGTATGAGGAAGTGCAGGGAACAGTTACCAGATTTGCAGATAACACAAAACTGGGTGGAATAGCCTGTAAGAAAGAAGATCCAAAGTGATCTTGATAGGTTAGAACACTGGGTTAAAAACAACAGAATGTAATTCCGTAGGGAAAATTCCAAGTCCTGCACCTAGGAAAAATAAACCAAATGCACCACTAGAAGGTGGGGAATACTTGGCTCAACAATACTGCAAATGAGAAGGATCTTGGAATTATAATAGATCACAAGCTAAATAGGAGCCAATAGTGTGATGTTAATGCAAAATGCTATTTGAGCTGCATTAATAGAAAAATCACTTCCCAATCACATATAGTACTAGTCAGACCTCCTGTGGAGTACTGTGTTCAGTTTTCGGCATCACAGCTTAAGAAAGATGTAGACAAGCTGGAAAGGGTTCAGGGAAGGGCATCAAGGTTGATCTAAGGCCTGGAAACAAAGCCCTATGAGGAGAGATTGAGAGAACTGGGCATATTTAGCCAAGAGAAGAGAAGAGAAGAGAAGAGAAGAGAAGAGAAGAGAAGAGAAGACTGAGAGGTGATGGTAGCACTCTACAAGTACTTGAAAGACTGTCACAAAAAACAAGAACCCAAGAATCTCTTCTTGATCATCCCAGAGTGTAGGACACAGAATAATGGACTTAAGTTACAAAATTACTTAATACAAGTGGAAAAGTGAATTATTCTGCTAAGAAGTAATTTTAATTGTAATATACATGCACTGCAGAAAGACAAAGCTAATACTGGTTTTAACTGAAAATTGTTATGGTTGTGTTTCCTAGCATGTTGACTTTATTCCGTTGTCAAGTTCATATGGAACTTGCCCGTATTGAGGAAAAGTCAGACAGAATAGAGGCTGCCATGGAACATTTGCAGAAAGCTATCTACCTTGATAACAGTGGGCAATATCATGAATATCTTAAAATGGCTTTCCATCGACTTAATTTAAGCACAATGTTATACAAGTCATTAGAACGTCTAGAAGATCAAGCAAGTTTGATGATTGAACAGGTAACTGCTAAATGTTATTAAGAGTACATCAGGAAGGGGAAAGGAGGAGGAGAAGGAGGAAGAGCTTGATCATATTTTGAATTGATACAATTCTGATATGATTTGGGTCATTAGTGCATTTTTCTTCAACACAAAGGACCTTATTGAAAATATATATCGAAATAATGGGTATATATAATGCATATATTAAGTGAGTCCTTAATGACAGTTTTATAAACTTATCCAATGGGTCTTTAACCTGGAGGTAGACCTCTGTTTTTCTCTGCTGTGTTCCAGAATTATAAGTCCCCATAGGAACTTTCTTAAGCAAGTGTCTCCAGATGGGTAAATCTTCAGAAGGGTAAAGAAATTGTAAGATTAGAAGCACATGCTTTTATTTTTCTTTGCACTTGCCAACTTAATTCTAACCCTTCAGCTTGTCTTGAGATTACATTTCCACTTGATCTTGCAGTCATGAAGGAAACAATGTGCAGAGTACCACAATGAACTGACAGTACCCATTGTTTCACCCAAAAACACTGTGCATTAAAACCTAGGCTTCTTTTATCATTCCTAAAACTGCCTTTCAGAATCATCCATTGAAAAAAGAACACAGATGTTGTTTGTAATATTTTCATGTGCACACTGACAAAGATTACTGTGTCAAAGACTTTCCTTTTAAATTATTTTCCTCTTTCTCCCAGAGCTATCACTGGCTTAATTCATATGGAGTGGAAGAGACAACAAATGAAATGTGAGCAATTGTGGAAAACTAGCTCTCACAGGCTATTTGGATCAGTAGATCTTTTCCACTCCTTTTCAGGTTTAAGGTTACACATGCAACCCACCTAGTAAACAAAGAAGGATGTAGAATGTACATAGAAAGATCTTGGTGTGAGTCAAAGTACATCTTCCATACAGCTGTTTTTTGACATGCTGCTGTGGAAAAATATTATTGTAATAACAGAACAGTTTGCTGGCCAGTGCCAGTTAAATACAAGAATTGCTTAATATAGGCTGAGGTTTCTCCACTTAATCCCATATATTGGAAAGAATATGTATAAAAACTTGTTTATATGAGTGAACCAGTTTTAGTCATGTAAAAGCAATCACAGTATACTTTTACTCTGGTAAAAATACTTATGAAACCTGTTCAAACAAACTGTAAGAATTAGAGATCTTTCACAGAAACTTGTCTCCAAATGAATGAAACATGCATATGGTGTCCCTGATAGGCAGGGAATGAGCTATTTACTTCAGTGTTAGGATCACCGATACCAAACATTGAGAAAGGAAAAGTACCTGCAGAGAGAGAGAGAGAATGACAGAGAGAGACTGTCTGCTAATGGTCTCTATGTGTGCTCTAGATGTGATAGGTTAAGGCAGTAGCCTAACAAATGTGAAATTAGAAAATTTCCTTCAAATTATTGTCTTAACATTTTCTAAGGATTGTGCAGGTATGCATTGCTTTTTCTATAGCTGAATAGCTATGGGATATTTAGTATCAGCTGGAAAAGAAAATTGACTGAGAAGGGAGAATGCAGTATCTTGGAGGATGGCATGGCTGGTGGGGGCATTTTGAATATTGTAACATATCACTGGAAATCCTACTTTTGAATTATCAAATTCTTTTTTGTTTTGTTTTGTTTTTTTGCCTAGGCTAAAAAAGGAACATCAAAAGATAGTGTAAGAAAAAAACGGTCTTTGCTGGTGAATGCTGGCCTGGCACTAGCTCCTGAGGCATTTCAGATTGTCCTTGATAGTGAAAATGAAGCTAAAGGTAATATAAATTATCTGCCATGATAAAACTGAGAAGCTTGATAAAGAACTTATCTGTTTTCAGTGGCTAACTCCAATTATTTATATGCCTGGGACTTAGAGTCTATAAGCCAGGTTTATGCATAATTCTGTGACACTGGTGGTTGGTGTGATGCTTCTGAATCTATTTGCACAAACAAACCATGGTTTGTATGTGAAAGCTAGAAGCCATAAATAAAACCCATGGTTTATTATTGGCTTTTGTAGTCCAGCTTGTTTAAATCATGTCTTGTTGTGATGTTTGAACCCTGGCTTGAAAAGGTTCTATATATGCCTAGCAATAGCAGCCTGACAATGAAACCACTCTGAAAGCTAGCAAAATGGACACAAGAGAAGCAAATGGAAAGAAGAAAAACAATCCACAGTTCATTTGTTCCTTTACAAAACAATTCATGGCTAAAGCAACAAACCATGGGTACCATAAATCATGGCTTACATTACCACTTTTTCCCTTTCTATCTGTCTTTTTGACAGATAGAAATACATTGCATAACTTAATCAGCATGAGTACAAGCGGTAATTTTGCACGCTGCTGCCTAACATGCATCAAGATTACTGGCAGAATTCAAAATGGCAGTTTCATGGAAATTATTTTGGATTGCCTTTTGGCTTAACCAAAATCTTCAGTCAGCTGCAAAAAAAAGCACCCATATTTACCAATACTCTACTGGCCACAATTCATGCCACCCTTAGGTAGAAATCTGGCTACCCAGAAATACTACTGAGGTTCATCTGTTGCAGGAGGAGCAATAGATTCAGCATGATTTCTTCACATGATTTCAAAAACCAAAATAGTACATACTTTTTTGTTGTTTGTTACATGTTTATTTTGAGAATTTTATTTAGACGTTCCTCAAAAGAGCCTAAGTAACAAACCATACAGTATCTTCTTCCCTGCATTACCACTTAGTGTTCTTTTCAGTCCTGTTTATACCTCCTTTTAGCATAAGTGCTTTGAGGTTCATAGCCCAAGAAACTCCAAACAACCTAAAGTGGGCAAGAGTATATATGTCTTGTCATGTATGTCTCTGAATGCTAGGTTCATGCCCTACTACCTTTGCTACCATTGCTGAAGGAACTATTTTACTTCTTCACACTGTGGGGCTCCAACTCCTTGCCCAAAAATGGGATGTTGGCCACCGGTCTATAATTGGTGGCCATCTCTGGATCCAGGGATGCCTTCTTTAGAACTGGTTGGACTACCGCCTCCTTTGAAGAGGCAGGTACCCGGCCATCCCTCAGAGAGGCGTTGACAACCTCCTCCAGGATCCAGGTCCCTATCCCATGCTTGGTGTTGTTAAGTAGCCAAGAAGGGCAAGTGTCCAATAGGCAGGTGGTGGGACGTACTTGTCCAAGCACCTTGTCCACATCATCAGGCTGCAACAACTGAAACTCATCCATCAATTTTGGACCAGACGGCGGCATTGGTATCTCTCCAGAAGACTCTGGGTCACTAGTGGAGTCCAGCTCGTGACGAATCTGAGTGATTTTCTCCTTAAAATGCTTGGCAAGTTCGTCACAGCGGGCCTTCAAGGGCAGTACAGGGTCTTTCTTAGGGCCAGGATGAACCAGCCCTTGTACCACCCAAAAAAGCTCCACCGGACGGCATTGTGAGGAGGCAATGGAAATGGAGAAGAATTTCTTTTTCGCCACCCTCACCTCCATAGCATAGGCCTGATAATGGGCTCTTAAGTGTGTTCGGTCAGATTCATCCCGTGATTTCCTCCATCTACGGTCTAGACGTCTCCCAACCCGCTTCATCACCCGCAATTCAGGTGTATACCAAGGGGAAGAGTGGGCTCTGCCCGGCAAGAGAAGATGCTTAGGAGTGATCATTTTGATAGCTCTGGTCATTTCCCCATTCCATAGTTCGACCAGAGCATTGACAGGAGCACCAGTCTTGTCAACCGGAAATTCTCCCAGTGCCTTCAGGAATTCATCCGGATCCATTTGGCTCTGGGGGTGGACCAACACAATCGGGTCCGCACCCTTACAGAGGGAAAGGCCGCTCTCGAGCTCAAACCTTATGAGGAAGTGATCTGACCATGACAGGGGTGTCAGACACAAATTCCTCACCCTCAGATAACCCTCTTCCTGCCCCGTTGAGAAAACCAGGTTCAGAGTGTGTCCACGTTCATGGTCGGGCCAACGACATGTTGAGACAGCCCCATGGCCGCCGTGGAGGCCATGAAGTCCTGAGCTGCCCCGGTCAGAACAGTCTTGGCATGGAGATTGAAGTCCCCCAGGACCAACATCCTGGGAGTCCTCAACACCAGGTCCGAGACGATCTCCGTCAGCTCAGGCAGGGAGTCTGTTGGGCAGAAGGGTGCACGGTACACCAACAGAATCCCCAATCTGTCTCGATCACCCAACACCAAGCAGAGGCACTCTAGACCTGGCCTCGAGGGGACTGGAAGCCCCATGAGGGAGATGGAGGCTCGGTAAACCAAAGCAACCCCCCTTCCCTCCCCTCCAGGCGTGAACAGTGCTGAACCAGATACCCAGACGGGCACATTTGAGAGAGGGAGACATCCCGCCCCCCCCGTGTCCTGCTCAGGTCTCTGTTATGCAAGCCAGGTCAGCCCCCTCATCCACAATCAGGTTGTGGATAAGGGATGATTTGTTGTGAACCGACCTGGCATTGAGCAGCAGCACCGTCAGGCCCAGGGGGCGGTTGCCAAGGCTACCTGGAATTGGGAGTTAAGCCCCATTGACTTAGTGGACTTATTTCTGATTAAACATGTGTAAGAGGGTGCTGAAGGATTTTAGTAGATACTGATTACTATTCCATAAATATGTGAATATCTGATGTTTTACAAATATTTGATATTCATGTTTTATGGTTTTTATTCAGAATTTTTTTTAAAAAGGTACATTTCTGGAAGATCAAATTAAAGCTTATTCAGTCATGGTTCTGTCAGGGTCCATAACTGAATGTTATTCAGTGCCTTGCCTCATCATATTTGTAGAAAAGCCCTATCTAGTGTGGTTTTGGAAAGCATGTTATTATATTGCTGAAAAAATCCTTGATTGGCATATCAGTACAGCAAGAGTCATTTTCCACCAGAGGGCTCAGCTCATTCTACTGTTGTATTTTGGGTCTCACAGTATGAGTTCCTTTTTTCTGTCAAATATTTTTAGCTTGTAAATACTTTTCCTCCTCCTTTTTGTCTGTCTCCCATTCACTTCAAAGCTAGGGATTCTCTGATCAACACACTGCAATAACAGCATCCATAGAAAATCTCTGTTAATGATACTTTAGACAGCCTGAGATGTGTTACAAAATCCTTCCCCTCTGGGTTTATTTCTTCCAAAAACAACAGTTTTAAAAATAATGTTAGAAGACCTTACATGCTTTCCATCTGTCCTAGGAACCTATTTGTCTTTCATCCATTTAGGGCTGTTGAATCAGTTAGTTTTTATAATGCTTCTATTCTAGTTGTCCATTCAGTAGTTAGTTATTCTAGTGTCCTCCTTGTAGTATTTTATCATGAATATAAAGCAAAATTGTATAAAGTGCTCTCCCTTCTATTTAGTAGCCTCAAGTAAAACTAAGGGTCAAATTAGTTATCTCTGTGCCAAAGCAGAGCACCATACCAGAAATGTGGAGAAAGCAGATGGACATTTGAAGAGAATAGGACATGAAAATGAAAAAGAAAGGTAATTATAATCAAAGGCAAGCATTTATAGTCTGTTTCTGAAGGGATAAATAATTTCAAAGGAAAAGATTGGTGTTTGTTTGAAATGTCTTAAAACTAAGTCCTAAAAACACTAATTCCTTGAGCCAAGGGTTAACACTTCAGACTAAGTTCATTTATATCATCCTTGTCATGGAAAGGCCCATGTAATTGTCTGCCTTACCCTGAATATCCTTCCTTAATTTTCTGTAGGTCTCTCTTTCGGCCCATTCTTTCCCATTCACTCCTTGTATGTAGGTCTGAGACTTGAGATCATATTACATCTCACCCACATCCTATACTACCAAAAGGAATAGGTGATACCATTAAATCTTGCATTTAATTGAATGTAGGAGCAGTGTCCATTGGTAGAAATAGAAGGTTTTCTTTAATGGGTTGCAACTGAGGAGAGAAAGGTTAACCTGCCCACCCTTCATGCGGCGATTCTTCTCATCCCCCATCTTTTCCCTCAGTCTGACAATAAAGCTTAGGGAGCTGGGAATCCAATGGTGCCAAAGGGAGGATTCACCTAAGATTAACTGAAGTGCAGGTAAGATTTCCAGGAAAAATATATTTTAGGAGGAAAGCTGGAGTTAAACAATAGAAGAAAACAATAGAATAGGGAGGACCAGAGATCTTTTCAAAAATATTGGAGAAATGAAGGGAACATTTCAGGCAAATATGGGCATGATAAAGGACCAAAATGGTAGGGACCTAACAGAGGCAGAAGAGATTATGAAGAGGTGGCAAGATTACTCAGAAGAACTATACAAGAAAGAGCTTAATGTCCCTGATAACCATGATGGGGAGGTCACTGACCTCGAGCCAGACATCCTGGAATGTGAAGTCAAATGGGTCTTAGGAAGTCTGAGCAACTACAGAGCTAGTGGAGGTTACAGTATTCCAGCTGAGCTATTCAAAATCTTAAAAGACAATGCAGTAAAAGTGCTACACTCAATATGCCAGCAAATTTGGAAAACTCAACAGTGGCCACAGGATTGGAAAAGGTCAGTTTATATTCCGATCGCAAAGAAGGGCAATGCCAAAGAATGTTCAAACTACCGCACCATTGCACTCATTTCACATGCTAGCAAAGTTATGCTCAAAATGCTACAAGTGAGGCTCCAGCAGTATGTGGACCGAGAACTACCAGAAGTACAGGCAGGGTTTCGAAGAGGGAGAGGAACTAGAGATCAAATTGCCAACATACGTTGGATCATGGAGAAAGCTAGGGAGTTTTAGAAAAACATCTACTTCTGCTTCAGTGACTATGCCTTTGATTGTGTGGATCACAACAAATTGTGGCAAGTTCTTAAAGAGATGGGAGCACCAGACCATCTTATTTGTCTCTTGAGAAACCTATATGTGGGTCAAGAAGCAACAGTGAGAACTGGACACAGAACCACTGATTGGTTCAAAATTGAGAAAGGAGTTCGGCAAGGCTTTATACTGTCGCCCTGCCTATTTAACTTATATGCAGAGCACATCATGAGAAAGGCAGGGCTAGATGAATCCCCAGTTGGAATTAAGATTGCTGGGAGAAATATCAACAACCTCAGATATGCAGATGATACCACTCTAATGGCAGAAAGTGAAGAGGAACTAAAGAGCCTCTTGATGTAGGTGAAGGAGGAGAGTGCAAAAGTTGGCTTGAAACTCAACATTAAGAAAACTAAGATCATGGCATCTGGTCCTCTCACTTCCTGGCAAATAGATGGGGAAGAAATGGA